GACCCACAACGACCGCAAATAGCTGCGCTAAGACCCAAAGGAACATGGGCCAGGGATTGGGGGGGGCAGGTGGGGGCGGCTAGCCAGAGGTGGTATTCAGCTGGTTCGGACCGGTTATGGCGAACCGGTAGGGGAAATTTTGAGTATTTTGGAAAACTGGCAAATACCACCTCTGGCTGGCCCCACCCACCTGCCCCCACCATTCCCTGTCCTATATTCCTTTGGTTTTTAGCTCAGCTGATTTGGGTGGCAGAGCGGATTGCCATGCCTCAGCTGAACAGCTCAGCTCATAAGCGCTGACACCGAGGGCAGTCTTTTAGTGTTTCACACACACACACACACATACACACACACAGCGCTCTCTCATAGAACTGGTAAGGAAAAGACTTGGAATCCCATTGCTGATTAGCTCCTATTCATCCACATCACTTGTCTAGTTGCAAACAAGTGAGAAAGGAATGAGAAGGCTACAGTCTCTGCTTGTTTAGGAAAAGAGAGAAGATTAAGAGTACCTAAGCGGTCCAAGGATCATGAAGAGAATTACTTTACGGCCTTGTACTGATTGTTATACATTATTCTTCTCTTACCCTACTAATTGCAAGTTCTTGTCATCACAGTGGGATTTATTGATTTACTGTATTTGTTAGAGGTTTTTCTTTTAAATCCCACCATTTGTTCAGGCATTTCAGGCAGCGTACATAGTGTTCCTTCCTCCCATTTTTCCTCACAACAACTTTGTGAAGTAGATTGGCTGAGAGATAGTTACTCAGTGAATGAAGCTTCTTCCATGGGACAGGAAGAGATCTTAAGCCTCGCGTTCTGAATAAAAGTGGTGGAGTTAATACTTTCTTACCACATCCCTTTTCCAGTGATGAGAACAGTATGTTAGGGTAAGTCCAACTCTCATTTATTTCCTGCTTCTTTCTAGCAGATGTTGGATGATACTCCTCCACCTCTTCAGGGGGAGAAGCCTCCAATTTATTACAATCTGGAGGAGATGAAGCAGTTACCAACAACACCTCCTACTCCACGCAGCCCACCATTACAGATGCTGGAAACCTGGGAACGTCACATAGACTCCAGCTCCCTGCGTAATTACTACTATAAGCCTGCAACAGGTGAAAAGTCATGGAAGCCACCCAGGAGGAGCCAAGAGATGGTGAGAAGCTAGAATTGTTGGGGGGGAGGGGGGCATCCATGCTACTTAGCCTTAGCAATCCAATCCTTACTTTTGATTGGCTTGTGCCTTTACCCAGCAAGTGTTTTAGCTGGCAAATATTGAATTGATGTAAAAGGGGTCCTTGGCTTGCAATCACTTAGTGATTGTTCAAAGTTCTGTCAGACCCTAAAAAAGCTACTATGACCTAGATTCAGAATTACAATGTTTGGATTCCCTGTGGTCTCACGATTGCATTATGATTGCTTGGCCACATAACCATTTGCATCATCCTGTGGAAATGTGACTGCAAGTTGCAACGTTTTTTCCCCCAGAAACTGGAGTTCACTTCTGGTTTCCACCAAAAAAGCCCCATGTCAATAATGGGTTCACTTAACGACTGCTATATTTGCTTAACAACCACCACAAAAAGGGTTCGTAAAACCAGACACAGTCACGTGGTGACCTGCTTTACAGTGGTCATGACTTACAACCAAAATTGTGGGCTCAATTGCAGTTGTAAGTCAAGGATTTCCTGTACTCAGTACTTCCAGTAAAATGCATTTAGTGATGTATTTGATCCAAATGCTTGAAGAGTTAAAAAAAATTAAAAAATGAAAGTTATAGGAGGGATAAAATCTTGCAATAATTTCCCTCTCTTCAATACACCTTTCTATTCTTTCTGCTTTATTTCCTTCTATCCCCATGAAGCAATCGATATTCTGTAGCTGTGGAATGCAATAATTTCAGTTGGATTCATCTACCCCAGTGGTTCCCAAACTTGGCAACTTTAAGACTTGTGGACTTCAACTCCCAGAATTCTCCAGCCAGCTTTGCTCTCCAGCCAGCTCAACTTGTGGAGTTGAAGTCCACAAGTCTTAAAGTTGCCAAGTTTGGGAACCACTGATCTACCTTATTTGCTTATTTTTTGTTTGTTTGATTTATATCTTGCTCTAATCGAGAGAGCTCAGGAAAGCAGCTTCTGGGGTGATTTCCTTTCATTTTGTCCTCACAGCAGCAACTCTGTGAGTAGTGCAGGATTCAATGGCCCAGGGACTTTTCTGTATCTAAGAATAGATGTAAACCTGGATATGCCCATCTTAGTCCAATAGCCACTGAATCACACTGACTTTTAGTGGAAATTGTTTAGCCTTTCCCCCCTTATTTCTGTGTTTCTGCAAACCCTCTTGCCTACTGATACTTCCTTCTTTTATATGGGCAATGTAGTTTATCTATATAAGAATTCATGCTGAAATAATTAATTTGCTAGTAACTCCTAATATTTATAAAGAGTACCATGTACTAAGAGGTACCTGGAGAAAATAATACTATTTTCTCTAGCTAAGAGATCTCTATAACTTGATAGGATGGAAATAGTTTTAATAGCTGAGATTTATGTTTCAAAAATCAAATTCAGGTTTATTGGCATTCCTAAAGCAGAGTTCATACATTGTGCTAATAGTGTGGCTTATCTGACTATCTCAAAAGTCTTTTTCAAGAGGCAACTGGACTTTCTGGTTGTTTTTTTTAAAGACATTTCACTTCTCATCCAAGAAGCTTCTTCAGCTCTGTCTTCAAAGAAAAACTAGAAAGTTCAGTTGCCTCTTGAAAAATCACTTTTGGGACAACTATGACCTCAAGAATCTCCATAGACACTTATTTGGCTATGGCTTAGTATTTTTGATTTAGTCATGATGGTTTGTACAAGATGGTTTATGATTCAACCTTGTCTAAACCCAATTGATGTGTGAACTCAGACTACTGGTATAAGAGTGATAAAAGTGGCCTAAAATCTGGCATGTTAAAAGTATTTCAGTGAGAACAACTACAAATTGTCAGTCAGGGGGAGGAACCAACGTTGCGACGATACGGACGTGCAGTCTCGATGCTCCGAGACTGCAGCCGATACTTTTGCTGCTGGGTGGTCCAATCGGACCTAAACCGTCCCACAGAGATGATGAACAGGAAGAATACGTCTAGCTGATCTCAGGGACATCACAAAGTCCCTGATCGATCCAAGAGAAGTTCTTCAAGCTGGTGACAAAAAGTCCAGCCACCAGGCTGATGAAGTTGGGGCGTCTCCAAA